GAGAACAGGAGCAGCTGGTTCTGCGGGGAGCGCCCGGCTACTCATCCTCAGCTGCAGAGAGCGTCGGCTCAGAGCGACCCCTCCGGACAGAAACACGGGGACTAGAGGGAAACAACCCGGGGAACCAGGTTGCCTCCCGGGCAAGCTGATGTAAGCAAAGTTGTGAAAGACAAGGGATAAAGTTGGCTTAGCTCAACCACCCGCTGACAGCTTCTTGTCACAAGCAGGTGGGTCTGCATAGCAGCACATCCTCACACTAAACGTGGCAGTGAACGGGGCGAGCAGACTTTTGTTTCTTCCCCCAGACTGGATCTGAAACGTGAAAAGAAGCATTTGACATGTGTACAACATCAGGACTCTCAGGAAAGACACATCTCTTTCAAAGCCAACTGCAAAGTATTACTTCCATGAAATTAATGACTACCATGCAGAATGATCTGAGTATTCACCCAGCTCAGCTACAGCAGATGAAGTGGCACGGCCAGGTGACTACAGTCGGCAGCTTCCTGGTTGTGAAGTATCAAAAGCTCAGACAAGCCCATGGAAACGCCTGGGCTTTGCTGCCGTGTTAAAAGGGTGAGGCTCCACCTTTATTCTCCAGAAAAACGTTCTGTTAAACTGAGCTCTGGAAACCGTGGTTGCCACTACAGTCACTGCACAGCTCAGGGAAGCGTGGCATAATCATGTCACGAGGCAGGGTGGATGTTGCCTTTTTAATCACAGCTAGCATAACTCATCGCCCTGGTCTCAGAGGCACAAAGAGGGAAGCAGAGGGCTAAGAGCATATAGCTTTTTTCATCTTGTGCCTTGGAGGATCCTCATCCATTGCAGAGAAAGCCAGGTGTGCATGGCCATTCACTCAGTGGCTGTAAGTTGCTAAGCTTAAGAGCCATTTAAACTTCCCATTATACAACATTCTGAGGAGGAAACATTCTCTTGAGAGGAGGCTTAAAGTGGTCCCTGTGCAGCCACAAAGATATAGAGCTGCAGCAGCTATTTTATAGCTGCTTCAAAAGCTGCCTAAGTCTGGTGCTGACCTAGTGAAGACAAGCAGAGCTCCCTGGCAACCCTGGTGCGTTTCCCCAGCCTGCCAGCCCTGCTTGGATTGCACACCTGCCTGTTGGCTGCCCTCAGCCTCCAGTCCTCAGAAGACTCTTGCTGAAAGTGGGGGGGTTAATTACTGCTCACCAAACAGTGCCTCTGTGCTCTCCCCTACAGCCAGCAGACAAGAATAAACTGTGTCCGACAGACAGCTTGAGTTGTCAAGACAAAGTAATGCACAGATACCACAGGCTTCACCACTGTCCTTCAGATCTGGTTTGCTGGGATCTCTCTGCAAATCAGGAAGTTCTTGGGTCATGGCTACTCATCTTTGCCCAGACCATGGGTGAAGAGATCCATGAGCCAGACACACTTGTACCCACCAAACCCATTAGGATAAAAAAAGAAAGGATCTCATGGTGAGCAATTCAAAGGCACACCACCTTTTCATAGGCAGCACTAAGGAATGAGGTGTGGAGTTTACAAAAACACTTAAGATAACACCAAGGGATCAAAACTTAAGCTTACAGTCCCAGGAGTGTGGGATATAATAAGGGATAGGTGTTAACTGGCTCATCTCCCCAGAAATACAAGGAAATTAGCAAGAAACAAGCAGAACAGCAATACTAATCTCCATCCCCTGTAAGCTTTACTGAGGCTCATTCTTACCAGTCTTCCTGAAGGAGGAAAACAGCTGAGGTGTGACTTCATTGCCTTTGAGGACCTAGGGGTAAATGAAGTGCATGAGATCTGCAGCACAGCAGATATCCCAGGGCTGCTATAACACCCTGTTCACTTGGCATTCTTTCTAAGGGGCAAAGCCACAGGGACATAAGCACGGAGCAAGGACCTCAAAATCTTCATGGTCACTTCTGAGAACACAATGCAGAGCTGGTCATCTTCTCCAGACTGTATCTCCTAATTCTGGCCTGCTAAGGCCTGCATGTGTGTGGCTTCTCAGCAGGGAAATAAGGAGTTTCTTGCCTGGGTCCACTACCCACATACCTCCTCTATCAGCCATACTTGAGTTTGCTAGATTTCAATGAAATGAGATGATGGAGAGACAGCTTAACAAACAGTATGACTACAGGTAGGCTTTTCCAAGGGAAGGGCTTTAATTCCATTCATAAAGACAGGTATTTTGTTCTTTCCAAGTACAGCTAACTCATAACATCAGTAACATAAAAAACTTTCACGTAGTCATAAAGCAGGCAGAAATGTGCTTGGATGTCAGGGCACACAACCCTTGGATGGGCTGCTTTT